TGCATTTATTGTATAAATTTAACTGTAGATTTGCTACTTAATAAAAAGAAAAAAGCAATGTAACATCAAGATTTAGATCTGTGACAATCTTTTTTTTTAAATCGATAAAAAAAAGATAAAACCATGCCTCCAGAACCACATAATTTTCGCCCATACTTTTTACTTACTAAAAACACAAAAAATAAGGGAAATGCTATTGCGGTATGTCTTAGTTGTATTAGTAATTGTGATGGAGGTCTAGAAGAAGCTAAGCTAAAGGCAGAATGTTGCACAGCAAATAAGGCAAAGTTATGTCGTGCCCATTTGGCAAAATGCGAAAATTTTAAAAAATTTTATACTGAAGAAGAGGTAAAGAATATTCTTAGTTTACCAGTACCTGAAGATAATAAAGTTAAAGACACTATAGAAAGTTTGTTATATAATTTTATGTACAAAATAATTTCTTAAAAATTTTCATATACTAAAATGCTTTTTAAAAATTAGTTGAAGATGACAATGATGAATCAATTCGCCAATTGGCAAAACGAAGGAAACTTTCTACATCAACAATATCAAGTTTTAATTTGACCAATAGTACTAGTTCTCAAAAAACTTTAACTTCATTTTATCGACGCCAAATGTCAATAAATGATGTACCCCGATTTGAACAGCTATTTATTAGAATGACAGTATCTAATGGTCTTCCTTTTTCCTTCGTAGAGAATGAAGAAACTAAAGCACTATTTGAATTTGTTGCACCTGGACTTGTTCTTCCTAATCGTAAAGCAATTGGTGGTAGAATATTGAATGATACGGCCAAATCTCTTCAACAAGATATTGTAAAACTAGCAGCAAATGATAAAGATGGAGTTACAGCAGCTTTTGATGGATGGACGAATGTAAAAATGGAACAATTATGGGGAATAGTATTTATCACATCGAAAGGTCAGCCTTTAGTTTGGGGAGCACATGAAATAAGTGCTGAACGATCTCGTACAGCTGATGTTATTCAACACATAGAAGCAATGATTGAAGATGCAAAGGAAAAGAATGTCAATATAAAGGCATTTGTTTCAGATTCAGCGGGAGAATATGCTGCAGCAAGGTAAAGTTTTTATTTGGAAATTATTGATGAAGGTGTTACTTAATATATTATATATGTGTTAATATTATTACTATAATATTATTTTTTATAGACGACAAATGAGAAGGCAGTATCCAAGCAAAATTTTTCTGCCATGTATGGCGCATCAAATGAATCTTATTTTTGGAGAAATTTTTAAAGAGCAAGAATTATATCAAAGAATATCAAAAGAAGCAGTTCGATTAGTTAGTTATTTTAATAAATCGGTATTTTTTACAGGAAATCTTCGTGATGAACAAATGAGAATTTATAATAAACATATATGCTTAATTTCTCCATGTGATACTAGGTGGAATAGTTATTATTTTTGTTTTTACTCAATTTTAAAAACTCAAGCGGCATTAAAGGTAAATAGTTTAATATTAATCCAATAATATTATATATTACTATTAACTAATGCTTTATTTTCTTTTTAGTTTATTTCAGCAAAATTTAATCCACATCGAGCTAATGTAATATGCCAAAATGGAGAACCTTCAATGCCTGCAAATAAATCTTCAACTAAAAATGGTAATCGAAAACTTCCTGATGATATTGCTGATACTATAAACGATTCAGAATTTTGGACAACACTTTTTTCTTTACAGCATCTACTTTACCCATTATGTGGATTTTTAAATAAATTGCAAAAGGATACTGCACGATTGTTTGAGGTGTTACATTGTTTTGCATATACTATCAAGATCTTTGAAGAACATCATAATTTAGATTTTAGTTTGCGAATGGTTGAAAGACTTGAAGCACGCTGGAAAGAGTGGGAGCAGCCACTTCTTATTCTTTCAGTTGTACTTCACCCTCAATATAAATTGGAGAAATTTCGAGCTACAAATAATAATTTAACATGGACTCATATTGGTCAATGGCTAAAATATTATTATCAGGCTTTTTTCAATTCTCGCTCTTCATCAATTGTAGCTGAAATGATTATATATAAACAAGGTGAAGATCCATATGATCTTGAGACCTTTTTGCAGTTTAATGGTAATTTGGTAAATTATTGGGATTCTACAGCAGGTATTGGGCCGGAATTAGCAAGAGTTGCAATACATATTCATGGTATTTGTGTTAATTCAGCATCAGTTGAAAGGCTTTGGAGCAGTATGGGTTTTATACATACAAATAAACGGAATCGATTAAAGGTACAATATAACTTTATTTTTTTAGTATTATGTAATTAAAACATTCAATTAATTAATAATCTAATATTTATAGAGTGATAAAGTATTGGCAATGAGTCAAATTCGAAGTGATATACTTTATCATCGTCAGAAAAAAAAGGCCAAAGAATTAGATACTAAAATCCAGCGTTTGCATATAGCTATACCAATTGTTGAAGATGATAACTTAAAAAATCCTGAATTAAATTTAACTGAAGACGATTTGCAAGTTAGTGATGATGATATTCAAGATATAGAAAACGGTAATAGAAATAATAATTTAATTTTAGATGAACCTACTGAACCTCATACTGAGGAACAAGAACAAGAGTGGAATGCATTTGTTAAAGAATGGATTGAAGCTATTAATCATGAAAATAGATTTGACCATTCTGATGATGAAATTCTTTTAACTGATGAAATGAATAATGATTTTAATTTTGGGGGAAAAACAATTCATCCTGCCGATGATCTAGCAGCAAAATGGTTATTAGCTTCTTTATTTATTTCTGATTTAGAATCACCAACTTATTTAGGAATAGGTCAAATTTATTCAGCACTTTAAAATTTAAATAAATAAAAATAAATTCGTTTGAATATTATAAATTTTATATGTCACGTGATCATCATATATATAATTGTTATGACCTCGGTCACATAAATCCTTTTAGCTAAAATGACTAAATGACTTGTGACTTAGTCATCAAGTCATTTAGGTCACATCCGGTCATGTGCCAACACTG